ATAACCTCTGACTGATTTTGCCACACGACCTGTTGTTATAACTGCCACTCCGTTATAGTGATTTATATCTTCATTCCCAGCATAGTACATTCAGTAACCGTCAACTTCACATTCTCCAGACCCAGGCCATCGCGTTTCGCCCACTCCTAGAATGTCTACATTTGTTCTTCTCATTTCTATTATCGCTTTATGTGTTTTGCCTCCTTCATACAGGTTTCTTACATTCCAGGTACCAATTCTTATCTTTTTGAAGTTGTTAAGTCTTTGTTTTTCAGATGTTCTCAAATATTTATAGTTTACTGCATTGCTCATGTCGTCTGTCAACACTTTCCCCCCCGGAGATCCGATTGGGGGAATTACTCCGGAATTTAATTTAGTATTGATGATTTCGCCATGTGATTTTACTAGGGAATCCCATTTGGGCTTTAATACAGTGGTTTCCCGTAGCCTTCTGTATTCTTATGCCGTTGACTGACTAACAGCTCATCCGCCTTTGAGGCCGCTTTCACAACCTCAGGACAAAAGAGTGCCCTCAACTTCTGCCAGCTCGTCCACTCGAAACTGTTGAAGTGCAGAAGGGAGCTGTTTATACCGACAGCTGGTCGGTCGCCATTGCCTCTTTAGTATGAACAGGGTATACCACGTGAAGGTGAGGCTGACATTTGAGTAGGAGAGGCTATATATTCCGCATCCATACCCCATTATACCCCTATATGACTATCATAATATATTAATTTTGTGACTATCCGGTCACAACCCATGCTTAACAGAGGTATTCTTTTGAGCGCCTTCGTCACGGAGAGTGTTTCGTTATGCAGCCCTGTTTGTTCCATGTTCCCAAAAAATGAACCCTTATAAACGTCCTCATTACCGCTTCGTCTAAGTAAAAGTTAATTAGTGCTAAGCAAAGAGGTGTCTCTACAGCCGCCATGGAAGTTGTTCTCATTGCTCCTGCGGGACTTTGAACGTGTTCAAGTTGCAGCAAGCTGTTGTTTTTTGTTTGGCTCTGGGCCACCAGACTAAAACTCCGTAGCACAGCATCGGTCTGACTACTGCCGTGGAGATCTAGAGGGTGATCCTCGGGTTTACTTTCCCATCACCCTATGACACTGCTAGCAACTTTATCATCTAAATGATTATTCCAGTTCAGTCGCCAGTCCAATTCAACTCCCAGGTATTTGACTTCGTCCGAATGTTGAAGTGTTGTATTAAATCTTTTTGGCATCTGTAGTGTGTCAATTTTCCTTCTTCTAGTGAATTTATGTCTGCGTTTTTTTCCGTTAAATCTATATCATCTGCGTATCCAATTGTGTGGTAGCCGAGATCATTGAGACGTAGTATCAGGTTGTCAACGACAGTCTTCCACAGTACAGCAAAAAGTACTCTTGCCTGGGGGGATCCCCTGTACACAACAGCCGCGATTTCGGTCCCACCTACATTAATCAGGACCTCCCTAATCCGCAGCATGCAAGTCAGCCACCTATTCAAGGTGGGATCTACGTCATGCTCCTTAAGGGTAGTTCTATGCTTTTGAAGGTCGTTTTATTAAACGTTCCTTTAATATCCAAGAACATTTCTAGCGTGGAGAGCTTGTTCTCCATCGATCACTTTTTACACAGTTTTTTTACAACTGTGTAAGGCCGTATCCACGAAGATCCGTGGGATCCGTGGGATGTAGGCATGTTGGTTCGAATATAGAGGTCGCTTGGTTAAAACAATCTTCCGACTCTCTTTTTCGCTTAATCTTTCTAGCGTTTTCAGCAAGAATGATCTTAAGCTGATTGGTCTGTGCAGTTTAGCCAAGATGTAAACTTGTCGTCCTGCCTTACGTATGAAAATAACCTTTACATTTTGCCTTACATTCGTTATGTACCCGAAAGCCACAAACCCCCGAAGCATTGGCACCAAAATAGGGTGTAGTCTACTCATTCGCCTCTGGAGAGCAGGATAGAAGCCGTCCACTCCCAAGGATTTAAATATATAGCGAAAACCTTGCGAGAAGGTTGAGTACCGACTACATCCCATTTGGAATGGGAAGTAGTCCTTGTACTGCCTGGAAACATTGTCTGTAGCAGAAGTTCTGTGAATTCTTTTGAGACGGCTGTGAAAGTACCATCTTCTTTCTTTGGGATACCTGGGTAATGTGCGTGATCCTTCGAGAGAACTCTCTTCAGCCTTGCGGCCGAAGCAGTCGACATTATGTAGGATTTCCACGCTTTCCGTTTCCTCTTTCCTATTTCTTTCTTAAACTCTTTCCGGTGCCTTTTATAGGCTTCCCAGTCTTCAGTTTTCGTTGCGTTTTTTGATATGTTGAAAAATTTTCTTAACCCCGATTGAAGTAGGCTGAGCCTTCGGTTCCATCATGGTGTACCTTTGCGCAGGCCTATTTTCTTGAGGGAACAACTTTTCTCTAAGCTAACATTAGAGAGTCACTGATAACGGTCAAGGTTTTCTCTTTGTCTTGTGTCGATAGATATTCTATTGGCGTCAACTCTACAGATCGCCAGTCTGATTTATAGTTCTTCATCGTATCCGTCAGCCTACGGTTCCTATACGACTTTGTCTCTATGTGTATACACTTTAACGTATACATAATCCACCTATGGTCTGACAATCATCAGTGTCAGATAATAATGCGTCCATAATGTGTTGTGAAATATCTCATGTAGCCAGTGTAATATTGATCAGTTCATCACTGTCTGACTACATGATGTTATGAAAGTTGGTTCGTAGCCTCGATTGAAAATTTCTAGATTTGTTGGTAAGTATTTAGCTAATGTTCTCCCTGGTCCATTACTCTCACACAGGGGATAGTGGCATTGGCATTGGTACCGATGTCGAGACTTATATTTCCGATGTCACAGTGGTTCACCAAGTTTACCGTCTCCTGTGTTGGACATGGTTCATGTACTCTCTGTAATAAAGACACGGATGCTATTACTAGTTTCTCTTCGCCTCTTCCTATGTTAACACCTAACATTTACCACAGTCACACCCCTAGAGCTGACCTGGCGTAGGAGGACGGCTTTAATATTCCTGGGAATATAGATACATGTCCTCGGAAATTCTGTTATCGTGCCATTTAAATTATTCAGCCCCGCGATCCATGGTTCATGGATTCTTGCTATAGTCTTTTGCATCTTGCCTAGGCAATGACACCAAACAGCTGCTATCTCTACAACTAAAAATTTCATTTCTATCTTAGGAGACACAAGGCTTATATCTCAGGCGAGCCCGCGCCTACTGGTAGAGGCTTCATCCACTGGGTTTTCTGCTTCCTTCATACGGGTCTGCCCTTTCTGAGCCGACGCCTCGTTCTCCTTAAGTTTCAGGTAGAAGGAGGACAGCATATAACTAATCCTGCCCTATCTCTCCCTGATTGTTTTGGCCCCGTCCATCCCAAGACCAAATACTGAGAGGTTACCCCGAGAGGGGTAGGTTTGGCCTCTGACCCTCTAGGCGGCGAAGTACGACCTCTGCATCCACCAGTGGTCCTGGTATCCGCAGGCAACCACATTAAGTTGTGTACCTTTCCACAAAAATGTTAGGAAGTGCACTGTTAGCGCCAGTCATTCCAGGGACACCTCGTCCTACAGGTTATCCTCAGTATTTTGCCAGTGCACTTGATGTCCCTGAAAGTGGCTACTTGTCTTCCCGATGCCAGGCACTGCTCAAGTCAAATACGCTTATAAAAAATTACGTGAACCCTCTTTATCTAAAATCTTTCAAACATCCCAGGCACATTACTGCTGGCTAAAATTACGGTTTTCTCAAAATATTGATTGATTTAAATACAACCCCGTTATCATTATAAGTTCCTTTTTTTCCTGTAAAAAATTTCGTTTCTAACTAAGGCATTTTGTTGAACAATGTTAATGTAAATACCTTGATAATAAACTTACTCTTTTCTATGTTTTATGACTTTTAGTATACTAAAAAATAGGTCTTCCATTTCTGTCTGCCTGTTTATTTGTTGTTTGTCTGCGTTTTCAATAGATAGACAATCTCCAAAACTACTACATACTAATTTTATATGTTGGATGTCAGAAATATCGTGTTAATGGTAAAACGCTCACGAAAATCTATCTAATTATCCTCATCAACACTTTAATGACGTCACCTCAAACTTTTTGTAATAAATACCATACATACCATAAATTTTATTAAATACCATACTTCTCTAAAATCCCCAAGGACGCACGACAAATACCACATGCACCTGTATAACTGGTACTTAAATGCTTTATATCTTATGTTATTAAAAAATAAAACTTACAATAAAAATTAAAAAAAAATAAGATTGTCGTCAAGACATGTCAACACTTTGTACATTCCGCCATCAAGAACTAACGTTCTCCGCCACTCTCCATCAAGAACTGTGTGTAATTGTTGTAATAAACTTATGGTAGAAGACAACTTTATAAGTCATCGTTAACTGATTTTTGTTCTGTCTTACTATGGTTATATTTTTTTCCTTTTTTGTACTCAAGGCAATTTCCTTTTCAGTTCAGGGGCTTTGGAATTAAAAAAACACAAAATGTTGTTCCACGCAACAATCTTTTGAATGTGAAATTTAGGAGTGATTATTTTTCAATCTGATGAAACAAAAATGTGTAAAGGACCTATATCAGCGATAAAACTGACGTTTTAAAACAATGTTTTTGCGATGTAAACATAAAAGATGTGTACATAACAAGTATACAGAATGTACATACGCAATTATAGAAATTTTGTAAAAAAAATACATTCAAACATATGAAGTTTATACCTTTACGGGCACATAAACAACGTTATTGCGATTTTCTTCGATCTGGCCGTTTGCTAGGTCAGCGTTTTTAAATTTGTTAAGAAGTCCATTTTAAGAGCATCCAGTCACATTTTCTCCATTTTCTTGCTTGAATAATAGAAGCGAATAGAACAAGTTTGTCCTCAACATTTGGATAAATAAATTAGTACAAAGTAAAGTTGCCGTAAAAGTTGAAGTTTTATTTTTTTTCCAGACATCGACGAATTCGATTTCCTGGACAAACTCGGCCAAGAACTTATTTCTACCACGTGTAGTGGCCGTCTGGAGCGCGCCTTCAAGTGCCTAGGCGGCGACCTTAAAGAATTCTTAACAACTTTAGACGGCGTTCACGACGTCCTTAAATATCAAGAGGAAGTAGAACACGAAAACGAGGCCTTCATTTGCACCACTAGCGACGATTGCCTCCAACTGGACTTCACCACTGAGAGACCGGCCGTGGCTTACCTGTTAGTAGGCAGCCTGAAATCCATAGCACGCATTTTATACAACACACGCGCCGAGGTGGAAGTCACCCAGAGTAAACAAGACTCGAGAAATTTCAGCTTCAAAATAAGGCGAATTAATGACGGCAAGGCGCTAAAAGAGACCATAACTCAGCGGATTTGCCCGGCCGTGACCGACCTGCAGATGGGGGTCGCGACCTTCTGCAAGGCATTTCCCTGGCATTTCGTCCTGGACAGGCGACTGGATCTGGTCCAGCTGGGCGCAGGATTTATGCGGCTGTTCGGCAGGATGCTGACGAGCTGCGGCAAGTCGGTGGCTACATATTTCGAGTTCCACAGACCGAGAAGCATCACTTTGTCCTTCGGAGAGATCGTTAAGAGGGCCAATACACCTTTCGTGCTCGCCATAAGAAATCTTCCGGGAGTTGAGGCATTTCCAGCGGAAGTAAGTCAAGGCTGATTTATTAGAGGGATTTCTTCACGGGTGTTTACCTGGTCCTTTTTAGCGGGTAAAAATTACGGGAAAGCGCCACGAGAAATTCGGTCGCTACAAATCATAAGCCAAGATTCGTTAAAATGATTTACTATCTTATATGAGGTTTCTACGAACGTAATAAAAAATTATGCATATTAAAATTTTTGAAAAGGAGATAAATTTCTTGTTCGCGAACCCTTGGATAAAACGGATCAGAAAATAGTGTAATTAAAATTATATCAACAACCCAGATTTTTTTATAATAGATAAAAGCACTCAATTCATTATCAGCTTATCGCCATGAAGCATATTATTTACCTGTTAATAGGTCCCATATATGTATTTACTGTACTAACAGCAAGTGGTATGGGTGAAATTTTAACTTTTTGTTGTGAAATTATTAAAATAACAAACAATAAATGTGGAACTTTGTTGAGTAAACATTTAAAACATCTTTTATATCGAGCAATTTAGCTTTGGCATCAAATAAAGTCATAAAGAAAAATCGTATGATTAGTTATAAATGTCAGTCAAACATCGCGTTCACGTTTGCAAAGACGCCAATCGATCAAGAGTTTAATAAATAAAGCAGACGACTTCTTTTTTATTTCGGGCAAAGGATGCAATGTCGTCCCTTGTTTTTCTTACTTCATGTTTGTTTTACGAAATAACAACTTCTAGCTCTGTATGGTCAACAAAGTTTTTTTGAAGTATAAAATGTTATGTGAACTGACCACATATATAAAATAAAATAAAACAAAAAGACCAAAATTTGACACAAAAATCGATTCTTCTTAGTAAGAAAGAGAAAGTTATTATCTATTTTACTCTATTGTTTGTTATTATACAATCACACGTTACTTTTAAATAGCTCTACTAACTATTTAAGTTTGTTTGCCAATTTTCTAATCGTTTTTGTTTTTTGTTTTCTTAATATTTCTCACAAATCTTTTTGATCACTCGGTGCGCTATAATAATATAACATTTATCACCATAACACCGAAAACACACAAAATATTTGCCAACGCGTTTCGCTTAGTTTAGCTTCGTCTAGATGATGACCACATGGTTGACGAACCGCGTCGGCAAATATTTTGTGTTTTAGGTGTTATAAGGATAAACGTTATAATCTTTGTCACATCATTTAATTTCGACCGAACTGCTCATTGACTCATCTGAGTATGGGTAATTTAGATACCAAGTGCAATTTGAACATATCCATACCCTCTAAAATTTCTTTACCTTTAGATTTTTTTTCTGTTATCATTGAAGAGTCACTTACAGCATGACATTAAAATTAATTTATACTTAAGTATGCTGTACATTGTTTTTCAAAAAAAAATCCATTACCTATATCAAAAACCATCCACTTAATTATTCTGAAATTTTAGAAATTTATTAATATTGTCATTAACGTTACGAACTGTAAAATGTACAGCGCAATGGCCAATTTCATCTTTTCTCCAGGTTTTGTATACCCCCTAGAATAAGAAAAATCAGGTCGCCTGTTCCCGTCTCTCTGTCGTCTCTTAGGATTTTATTGCACCGATAATCTCCGAAAAGAGTGGCGATTGTTGTGAAATTTTAGATGTGCTTTAAGAATATCGTAAAACGCTAACCAACATATATCTGATGAATTTTATTTGTTGTTGTGAAAATCGAATTTTATAATTTTAGTGAAAAAAATACACAAATCCTTGATTTGAAATTTTGCGTACGCTCACTCGTGGACATGCGAACATCGCTAATGAGAATTCGTGTGTTTATCCCTTCGAAAAATTTGATAACGTCATCTCAAATTTTTCTTCTGGAAATTTATAGTCTTCTTTATTTGTCTAGAATCTAAGAAATGACTTTTTTCAAATTTTGGTAAGACTCAAAAATTAATGCAATGATTAATTGATTACAGAACAACGATTAAAGTTTATTTAGTCATCCCTCTAGAAAATTAATGACGTCATCGCAAAAATTTATTCAACCGATGTTTATTAAAAATTTGCTTTGAGCTATAATGTTCCGCTTCTGTAAATACATTTTTATTTTTTACATTGTTTATACAGAATGTTTAAATAAATCATATAATTTTATTAAGTAAATCAAAACTGGGTTATCTAATTTTCCGAAAATTGTGGAAACGTGCATATAGTTACGAAAAAAAGTAAAACCATGATCCGTCCCAGTATGACGACTGGGTTTTCTAGTACATTGCCGCGTTCACTGGTGACTCATAATCGCCTACGGTGGAGTTCGATTTAACAAAAACCTAGAAGCGGTTCTCCGGAAGTCTCAATGGCGGGCTCCAAAACGACCCCGAAGCAGAGATCACAAACTCTCCAGAAGGAACGCGTGGCTGTTTAAAATAGGGAACACCGTCGGGAGCGGGCAGTCTACTCTAATCCAGCCGAGTCGACTAACGAGTACAAATCAAGTTGAGTCGGAATTATTCTCTGTAGTGAACACTGTATAGTTAGTTGTGTAGTTGTATATCATCGAGAAATAAATTGTTGAGTTTTACTCACGGCGATTTAATTTCTATAAATCATAACAATAATTTCGGAACTAAGATTCAATATTAATAATAACTGGTTTAGGGGAAAATTGGACCAGAATTCTGAAGATTTATGCCTACCGAGACTAAAGCTCAAAGCACAGCAATAGACAAAATAATAATTGGTCGAAGATTATTTCGACAGAACTTTTCTCGCCCCTGAAAAAAAATTATAAGATTTGACTTTGCGAAATTTATTTTTATATGTCACCCCTTATTAGTGAAAATAAAGATATGTACGTAATGTTACAGTAAAGGTAAGGAAGCGTTCTACGCGTTTGTTTCAAGTGAGTTTTAGGTTTTGTAGCTCCTAGAATAAGAAAAATTAGATCGCTTGTTCCGTCTCTCTGTCATCTCTTAGCGATTTTATTACATAGATAGTCTCTGAAAAGAGGGAAGTAATTGTTGCAAAATTTTAGATGTACTTTAAGAGTATCGCAAAACGCTAACCAAAGCATACCTGATTAGTCCCACAAAAAATATAAAAATCATTCCTTTGAAATTTTGCATACGCTCTTCAACAGTCGTGAATATGTAAACATCATAAATCGCCAATGGGAATTCGTGTGTTCATCCTTTCGAAAAATTTGGTGACATCATCTCAAACTAGCTAGAAATTTATAGTCTGACAAACATATAAAAGATATATGAAAACTAAATTTGTTTGAATATGCTTTTTTTGCTATTTTATGCAATCTGATGTTATCAAACTGATAAAATATTTTCACATTTCTTAATACTGTATTTCCTCATCAGAAATGATAGTCGTCGATATTACTTGAAAATGTTTTCTAGCATACTTCGTGGAAACCACATAATGACAATTACTTAGTTATTCATCATTATCTATTTAGGCTACTAGAACAATTACCCGTTAAATTGAAACGTGTTTTCTATCGTACAAATATCTGCTTACTTAAAAATGTCCCCTCATGTTTGATTCAAGAATGACTTAAATTACGTCTGCATTAAAAATTGGAAAAGTTGAGTGGGTGAATGTGCAAGTGGCGTGCATTAAAGTTGCAGTACAATTGGTAGTTAAAAAAAATGTTTCTAAACTTAAACGTTATAAAACCCATATACCTGATTACTACCTCCCACGAGATCGAAGTTGCGGCCGATTCAGCAGCTTTATTTGTGTAATCGAGGGATTGCGTCTTATCTACAACTAACCAAAAAAGCCTTATCTTGTCACTATGCTCAACTGCAGTCAGTGAAAAAAAAACTTTAACGAGGTTTTAAGCTGCGATATACGTCGCACTATGTTCTGTAATAAGAAATAAAAGAAAATATTTCGTGTCGGCAAAAACAGAAAATTCTAAAACTAGACCAATAAAAATTGTTTTAAATGATTCCAACGAAACTTTAAAAATTCTGAAAAACAAACAAAATTAAAAATGATAACAGTCAACAACGATCATAACCACATTTCTTTCATAATCGAAAGTGATAATCCTGATACTGATGTGCCTCAGGTATGCAATTTTATAGGAAACTTTCTAGCATCGTCCGACGAAACACTTGTGTATTACAAAATATCACCTTAGCTCAACTTTAAAACTGTCACGCGTTAAAAACAAAATAAGAAAATTGAGAGAATGGCGATTAGTTTTGATGTTTTTCAAAAGGTAAATAAATTAAATATCAGGATTTGTAAAGTCCTCAAGGCTACGCAGAAAGTTGTCAGAAACTTTGCTCAACTTAACAGACGCATTAAGTTTTCGCCCAGACTTTGAATTTGATTTTTGTGAACAAAACAACCGCTGTTTCACGCTTTGTAAACTTTTAAAAAATCCTGAAAATGAAAATTGCAAGTATATAAAAACAGCAACAACTCTTTGATTTTTCCAGCGATCACGGAAAGTTTACTTTAATCATGGTGGCGAAGTTTAAGGGTTAATTTACATGCAAATGAGGAAAACTTCCGGAAACTAATTATTACAGGGAAAAATTACTTCTCGTCGTCAATAAAAAATTCAAACGGGTAATAAACTCGAGTCGAGATTATTGCTCATCTTTATGAATTTTTCGATGATTTAATTCGCAACTCCGACCCTGTGTTTACATGGTATGTTAACGTGTCGCCGTGCTTCAATTTCTATTATGTGTTTGCTTTGTAAAGCGGGTTTTTGTGTTGTTTGTCGAACTCTCCTCGTCGCGCGATTATAAATGCATTTATACATTTTTGGTACGGGATATTTAAAAATAGATTAGAGCCGGATTTGGGGGTATAAATCATCACCGTACGTAAGTGTATGTCTAGAGACGAGCTCGCATTTATCTTTATATGTCCAAAGCGGGCATAAATCTGAAAACTCGAAGCCACTTATGGGAAAACCGTTGCTTTCAGCTCCGAAATTATTTCTCGGGCTGGGTTTTGTAAGTCGTTGCATAAAAATGAAGTTTATTGGATTGATTGAGC